ATTGGCCTGCTAAACCCAGGATCATTAGTTCAAGCCTTGAGGGGGCCACTTAGGGATATAGGGCAAAAATCTGTCTGTGCATTGGTCCTGCTTTGAGCAGGGGCTTGGACTAAATGCACTCCTGAGGTCCCTTCCAACCCTGATATTCTATGATTCTATGAAGGGATTGGTGCTAAGGGAGGCAGACACTAGTTCAGTCCCTGTGAGTGGAATGGGGGCCAGAGATGCAGTTACATGAATGGCCCCTTCCAAACCCTAGGAGCAGCAATGGAGTGCCAGACACACTAACAGTGCCGGATGCAGACTGAGGAGCTGGGACAGTCACCAGCAGGCACCTAGCTCCTAGCAGGGAGCTGGGCCTAAGAATTGAATGCACAGCAAACATCCTTAAGAGAGGAGAGGAGAGGAGATGGGCATGGTCCTCTCACTAGTAGTGGACCCTGTAATGCAGTGCTAAACTGTATTGCATTGTTGAGCCACTAAGCTTCCTCCAGGAAACCTTCTTGTTGCCAGCCCTATTCTCCTCAGTGCACAGTCCATGGAGACTCCCCCCATCCCTTCCCAATGGCCAGTCATTAGGCCTCTGTGATGGGTTGGGTCACAGAGACCCCCTTGGTACTGCCACCTGATGTGCTGAGACTACCTCTGTGTCCATTTTCCCTAGCAGCTTGGGACTTCAGTACTCTGGCTTGTTGAGGCAGATACACTAGCCTGCTGCAAACAGAGACCCAGAGTCTGAACCATGTTCACCAAAAGCTGCAGGCTTAATTGAAAACAGCTTAAGAAGTGCTCCTGTTTCTAGCACCCGGACACCCAGTTTCCCAATGGGATAAAAACCTGAAATAAATCCATTTTACTCTGTATAAATCATATACAGAGTAAATTCATAAATTGTTCACTCTCTATAACACTAATAGAGAGGTATGCACAGCTGTTTGCTCTCCCAGGTACTAATTACTTGCTCTGGGTTAGTTAATAGGTAAAAAGTGATTTTATTTAATATAAAAAGTAAAATTTAAGTGGTTCCAAGTAATAGCAGATGGAACAAAGTAAATTACCAAACAAAATAAAACAAAAACACACTAGTTTAAGTGTAGGAAACGAAATGCAGGTAAATCTCACCCTCAGAGATGTTCCAATAAGCTTCTTTCACAGACTAGACTCCTTTCTAATCTGGGTCCAATCCTTTCCCCTGGTACAATCCTTGTTTCAGCTCAGGTGGTAGCTAGGGGATCTCTCATTACTGCAGCCTCCTTTGTTATGTTCCACCATCTTATATAGCTTTGGCACAAGGCAGGAATCTTTTGTCTCTGGGTCCCCACTCCTCCTTCTAAATAGGAAAGTCCTAGGTTTAAAATGGATTCCAGTACCAGGTGATATGGTCACATCTCCCGTGAGACCCCAAGCCTTCATTCTTCCTGGCCTGACTCAGAGGAGGGCTTGCAAGTAAACAGAGCCATCTACTGTCAATTGTCCTAGTTGATGGGAGCCATAAACATTCCAAACCACCATTAATGGCCCACACTTTGCATAATTACAATAGGACCTCAGAGTTATATTTCATATTTCTAATTTCAGATACAAGAATGATACATTTATACGAATAGGATGAACACACTCAGTAGATTATAAGATTTGTAATGATATCTTACAAGAGACCTTTTGCATGAACCATATTCCAGTTACATTATATTCACACTTGTTAGCATATTTTCATAAAATCATGAGGAGTGCAACATCACAGCCTCTGCCAAGGCCCAGTCATAGTCGTCTTCCCAAAGCTCTTTTCTGCAGCAAGAACCCCTCCTACACCTTTCCTGGCCTCTCCGAGTACCTACAGGCAGGGGGTCAGATGAGATAGTCAGAGAGATTACTTCTGGCCTGGGAACATGTAAAAGATTCTGAGAGGAGGAGAGGGGCAGATGGCTGGGCTTTAGAGGGTGTGTGGCGGGGGGAGAGGCAACCGGCTGGGTCTGAGTGGGTGCGTCAGGGAGAGATGCAGACATCTGGGTATGAGTTTGCCATGTGGTAGATTGAGGACCAGGCCTTTTGTTTAAAGCTCTGGACTGGGGCTCAGACCTGGGTTCACTGGCTCAGGCCAGAGTCCAATCTAGACCAATCTCCTTTGTCTGACAATGACCAGATCAGGTTCAAGACCCCCTGCATGGGGAAACTTTGCTCCTCACCTGCAATGAGGAGAGGTTTGCTGGTGCCCTGAAGCAATTACTGGCTTAGTCTTAGACTCCCTGTGTGATGTTGGGCAAGTCCTTGGACTCCCTGGGTCTCATCCCACACCTGTGATATAGGGTGACCGCAACCTTGACTTGCCCACAGTTGGTGCACATTGTCTGTTTGGATTGAAGCCCATGGGACAGGGATGGTCTCTAGCTGTATGTCACACAGCACCTTGCACAATGAGGCTCTGATCTCACTGGGCTGGGTGGAAATGGTGAGTGAAAACAATGCTCTAGGGTAGGGCAAAGTCAAAGCCGTGTTGTGTTGCAGACTCAGACAAGTGTGTTTATTAGCTCTGCTGCTCACCAAGGCTGAGGTGGGTTTCTACAGCCGGGGGTGACTGAGCCATCTGGATGCCAGGCCTTGCTGGCCCTGACGTTGCCTGCATGGACCTTGCTCCTCAACTGCTGACCCATCCTGTGGGCCTTCAGTCTATTTTGATGCCCAAGATGTGGAGCGCCCTCTGCTGGATCCCCGGGGTTTTCACCCCGTAGATGATGGGGTTCATCATGGGAGGGAAAAGCAGGTACATGTTGGCGATGAGGATGTGAATGTGGGGAGCCACATGGCCAAAGCGTTGGGAGAAGTAGGTGAAGGACGCTGGGGTGTAAAACACCAGCATGGCGATGACGTGGGCGCTGCAGGTGCCGAGGGACTTGTGCCGTGCCTCCTTGGATGGGAGTCTGAAGACGGCCCGGAGGATCAGGATGTAGGACAGGACAATGAGGATAAAATCTAATCCCCCGGCGAAAAACGATACGGCCAAGCTATAGGCACTCATAACCGTCGTGTCCTCACAGGCCAGTTTCACCAGTGCCATGAACTCACAATTGGTGTGGGAAATGACATTGGTCCTGCAGTATGGGAGCTGCTTCAGCAGGAATGGGTGAGGACCCAGTAAAATGGCCCCCCTCATCACAACACCCAGCCCTATCTTGGCTACAACCCGATTGGTGAGGATGGCCGTGTGTCGCAGCGGGTTACAGATAGCAACGTAGCGATCAAAAGCCATGGCCAACATAAACCCGGACTCCATGCAAGTAACTGAGTGAATCAAAAAAATCTGGGCCAGGCAAGCGTTTGTGTGAATGGCATTGTCGCTGAACCAGAATATGCAGAGGGTTTTGGGCAGGGTGGTGGTGGAGATGACCAGATCGGCGAGAGCCAGCATGCAAAGGAAAAGGTACATGGGCTCGTGGAGGCTCGGCTCAGTCTTGATAACAGCCAGGAGGAGGCCGTTCCCTAGGAGGGACAGAATGTAGATGAAGCAGAAGGGGATGGAGATCCAGACGTGCGCCGCCTCCAGCCCCGGGATGCCAAGGAGGATGAAGGTGGAGGGGTGGAGTGTGGTCCAGTTGGAAGTTGCCATGGTGGGGCTGGTTGGGCGTGTTCAGTTCCACGGCATGGCGGCTTCCTGCCCCTGTAAATAACCATTAAAAGAATCATTAACCATCTGAAGGGAACATGACACGGTGGCGTTTTCTCAGCCTTGGTTCTTCATCTATCCTGAGCTAATGGCACATGCAGAGTGAGTAACAAATAACCTATTCCTGGTTCCCACACTGCAGCCATTCCACCCTCATTACAGAGCTTTTAGCGGTAAGTGAGCGCTCTGTAGCAGTTCAAAGCTCTGTTTCTTTTTCTCTACACTCCTCTCATTAGATGCTCTACGAACTGTCCATGAAAAACCTGCCTGAAAATCGACTCATCAGGCTCAGTCCTGAGCTGGCGTAAATGGGCAGACAGCCATTAGAGTTGTATCCATTTACACCAGCGGGAGAGCTGGCCCATTGCCGCCAGCTGAAAGAGAGACCTGATTTTAATGGTTTTGACTAATTATGCAAAGCCTCCTGAATACGTGCAGCAGGGGAGGGGAGGGAAAGTGATGTGAGCATTACCATACAGGTGGGGAAAGGATTTGGATGGCTCAGCCCTGATTCTTGTGGGACAACGGTGTCTAATTAATCCCTTGGAGGGAATCTCAGCAGAGAGGATGTGGGGAGCGGGCCTGGAATGCTCAACTGTCCTCCCCATCCGTAGAAACAGCCTCTGTCAGTCAGAGGTGAGTCCTATTGGAATGGCCTGGGGAATTGTAGATTGGCTCCCCCTACGCTTTCTCCAGGGCTGTCAAGCAAGCATCAATTCCAGCAATAAATTCACGTGAGAAGAGCAAACCGTTCAGCCAGACTGTTCTGTTGTGTCTCAAGTCTCTTTTTGCAGGATTCACAGCTAGGGCGAAGCTGCCCTGTCAGAGTGCCGGGCAACTGTCCTTAGGAGTTATGGGGCCCTATGCAGTATTATTAAACTGGTGCCCCTACGCCCGATGGCAGCCTGGCTGGCATGTTTATTTTAGGTAAGAGGGGTCTTTTGAAGGATTTTATTTTAAAAATTGTATGTCTGATGATCCAGGCATTTAAGGCTAAAGATGAATCCTCAGATCGTGCATCTAAAAATCTATGCAAAGATTTTATAGAGATGTGATTTTATAATCTTCACCAACGCAACGATGAAATATTTTAAAATAAATTTTAAACTAAGGTCCTGTAGACTAACAGGTTCTGAATAAATATAACCGTAAGGCCCAACTGGTTTTGTCAGTAAATTCAGAAACTGACAGTCTATACCTGGGGGTTGGCAAATGCCTGTTAAATGGCTCCATTACCCCTTGATGGCTCTTTAATAGTTTCCGTGTTGAGCTAATAGGTCTGGCAGGCTGGAGGCTTTTTCACTTTTAAGTACTAGATCCCCCCTGGAGGAAGACTCACAAGGCTGTGGTGGGAGCTTGCAGGAAGGGTCAGACCAGGGATAGGAAAAGGTTGGGGGGAGGGAAAGACACTAAGACCCAGGGGTGCCCCAAATTTTCTGGTGCCCTACACAGCCGCATATGCCGCTGATGCCTAAGGGCGGCCCTGGTGCCAGGAGACTCAGGGCTGAGCCCCACATATTCCTGGGAGAGATAGAGCTGTTCTCTTGGCCCTGCCTTTTGGACGAAAGACGCAGGAAGTTCATACCAGGGGTCTGACCTGGGAGCTCTCTGAGCCCAGGTATCCTATGCACATTGGTGGGAGCTTTGCACACAAAGCGCCCAAAGGATTGGGACTAAATTATTTTATGATGGGAATGCAGGGCACACCTTGCCTACTTCTCCCCCAGTGACGTTCTCACTCCTCCATCTAGTGTTTGTGGGTTTGTCTACATAGCAGCTGGAGACGTCTCTCCCAGCTCTGAGAGAGCCAGCATGTTAAACACAGCAGGGTAGCCGTGGTCATGCAAGGGGCCAAGCTCAAGACCACTGGAACCCCTATCTGTGTATTTGGGAGGCTGGCTTGTTCCACTGCTCACACCGTGGCAGCTGCACTTCTATTTGTAGTGAGCGAGCTGGGTCAGAGCTAGCGTGGGAACATCTCCCCAAGCTGGGAATTACACCTCCAGATGTAGGTCGCCTTCCTCTAATGAACCCTTTTGGTAACTTTACTCACACAATCAGTAGTAACCACACAGGCATTTAGCTTATAATGAAGAAGCCATGAGCAGAGTTCTGTCCATTATCTAAGTGCACCGTTCTAGTGGCTTTGTGCATGCTAGGAGAACGTCCACCAGCTCCTATCACATTTTGGAATAACCCATTTCTATTCCATTGGACTCCTCACCCAGAGGGCTCGGGGGTGGGGACACTCCCAGGGCAAAATGGCCATCAATGCTGGCCTGGAAGAAATCAGAAAAATGAAAACTGACCCGTTTCCATGCCTGAGAATGCAAACAATCGGCCAAACATTCCCATGGCATGTCGGCTACCCAAAGCAAACACCCAGACCAGGGACTTGTGGCTAGGGCACCAGGTTGGATCTCAGGAGAGCTAGGTGCTCTTCAGATTCCTTTGGCACCCTCAGTTCTCCTGTCAGCAAAATGGGGATCATGATACCCCCAACTTCAAGTGGTGGTGTGTGTGTGTGTGAAGCGGGATCCACAAATGTCTGAGCTTGTTTCGGATGAGCACTATGGACATACCTATACATAAATCACTGCCCCCAAACTTGGAAGTGAATGAGACCAATCTGCTGGCAGAGGAATGTTACAAACCTGTAGGACACTCCTGGGAGTGGGTATTGCTCTTGGGATCTGTCATTTTCCTGGCAGGTATCTCAACCCGCAGTCAGAAAAACAGCCCCGTCACTGCCTGGGCAAGTTACCCAAGTGAGGTGTAATTTGTATGTACTGAATCTAGAACTGCACATTTCAAAGTTTGGGTGGAAACTCTTTACAATGAGACCTCTTTTGTCCTTTGAAGGTTGGGCAGAGAGAGAATTGGGCAGAGAGCTTCTAATTATGGCCTCTGAGTACTGCTGTACTACAAATAAGTAACCTCAGATGACCCCCAAGAGACCTCTGCTGTCACACACACAGGGGATATGGATCATTCACACAGCTTGTGGGAGAGCAGATTCCCAGCAGATAGAAAGTGAAGCATAGAGGCCGTTGTCGATGCATTAAACTAATCCCACATTTCAAGGGGTCACTGTGTCTGAGGGCAGAAGCTGCCTGAAGACATCGTCATCACAATTTCAATCCAAGGTAGATGGATTGAATGATACACTGATGATAACCTCGCAGCCAAATTCTACCTTCAGCTAGGTGCAAGCAGTTGCGTTGGATCCAATGGGACCTAGGTGGGGGAAGCTTAGTGAGGGCAGAATCAGACCCTCACAAGAACAGCATGGTCACATACCACCACCAACCCTGCTCAGAATATACAGGGGTCTCTGCCACAAAGAGGAGAGCTGGGAAAAATGTAGGAGCTTTGTTACTCGGGGTTGTCAGAAACCCCAAAAGGGGCAACTTAACTATTTTACTTCAGGCCATGTAAGGAATAAATCAGCAGCAACTCAGCAATTCTGTTTGATCAAGGAGTAATGATCAGCATGCTCTTGTCTAGGACTGCAGTTTATTAGATGTAAGCGCACACAGACATAAGCAACAGGCTTAGAACATCCCAGATATTTACCTATATTCTGAGACAGTATTCAGTAATCAACGACAGGTCAGCGCTGGCCAGACACCTCCCTGCTGGGGACTAAAGTTGTCAGGAAAACATCTCTCCCAGGATAGCTTCCGAGGACTGCTCCCAAGTACATATTATTATTTAAACTTTTTATAACTAACTTCTGCTAAACACATTGGTCATAAGGACCCCTATTAAGTTATTACTTTTTAAATTTTTAGTAAACTTTTCTTATTAGAGGCATATAGACTTAAGGCTGTTTATTTAATTTTTTTTTATTTTTATTTATTTAGGGTTTTTTTATACTGATTAGCAAAATGCCAGGACTTATGACCTTGTTTCTGAAAGCCTGTCTTCAAATGGACCCTTAACTATGTGGTGTTTTATAAATTCATTGTGGTGGAGTGCACATAATATGGTTGCAATTAGCTTGATCACATTCTGGGGTATATACACCGCTTAAATCCAGGGCAAGATTCCCCTTTTCAAAGGCCAAATATTTTAAATATTGAGGCAGTTACACACATATATATATAACAAGTTCAGTGAGTTACTTTTGAAAGCCCAGCGCTCAACCAAGACTAAGCAAGAATTTTCTCACTGGCACTTTTCGGTTTCACCCCTGACTTTGCCTCGTTAAAGACCAGACATCATGTACTTATTTTCAGGATGTGCCCATGGTTTGTAAAATCTCTGGCTTTGCAACCTATCAGTCTTCCTCCTTATCCAGCATGTCAATGCTGAGAACACAACAACCAATGGCACTTGATGCATTAGAATCACCACAGTTTGATGTAAAGCCAAATTGAAAATTTCCGATGCCATGAGAGACCATCCTAAAAATGTCTCCCACCAATTGCGTTCCGAAACTCTGCTAACCCTTTTAATTACTGGTTAATGTTATTAGAAACATGGTGGACAGTAACCATGACAGTAACGTGCCTCCTGCCTGGAAACTTGCAATTTTTTTTTAAATGGGAATGCTCAAATAACATTTTTATAGTAATTACATTTATTTTAAAAGGTATAGGTATTACATAGGAGCAAAAGGTGTATTTTACATTTAATTGGCTGTATTTTAATTCAGATACTTAGCATTGAAAATTACATTTTTAATGGCTACAATTAAAAAAAACATTTATTTGGGGGGGGGATTGTGGGTTGTATTGTGGACATCATTAATGATGGGCACAGAACACTCACTTTTACGACATATACAATTCTTACCCACATAAACAACTACAGATTTATTTGCAAATGGATTAATAGAAAAATGACATTTTTATGACTTTTAAACGTATCTTTTGTGGTTGCGAAGCATTTTAATACATTTATATTTAATTCCAGATTTTTTTAAGCAGACTTTTATT